GTGAGAATCCCAGCTGTTTTCTATTTTTTTTTTTTTTTTAGTTTTGAGAAAGGGTCTAAGTTGCTGAGGCTGGCCTCAAACTTGTGATACTCCTACCTGAGCCTTCAGTGTCCATGGGATAACAGGCATAGGTTACTGTGCCTGATTTTCACATTCATTTGGTGAAACTTAATACATTCATATCCCTGAAGTTTCCCCCAGACTGAAGTGAGTCCTTTGGGACAAGGCAGATTCAGGTAGCTAGTACCTTTGAAGGTGTCATAAAATTCAGAGATCAGAAAAGATATTCAGCATGTCATTTACATAATAATCTTTTTTTGGTATGGGTTAACATTTTTAAGGTGCCATGTTTACAGCAAGGTAACTATAATGCTATTGCAAAATAAAAAGTAAAAACCTTAAGAAACTTCAACTGTAGTAACAGCATTTTGGGCATGTCACTTAGTTCAGTTTTCAGAATGATATGATAAATATATGAATATCTTTGCAGGCTTTTAAAAGTCTCAAATTAGTCTGTGAAAGTACTATGTAACATGACGTCTTGTTATTATTAGGCTCTCTCTCTATATATGAATTTAATACATTTTAAACCCATGAGCTTGATTACTCAACATAGATGAAGAAAAAAATAAAGAACTGAGAGATCATAAATTATTTCTAAGCTCATTATCGTGATAAGAAAATTGAATATTCCACAGTTGAGTCATCATAGAGAAAGAAACTGTAGCATTCAGCTGGGTGCAGTTTTCTGTTCTATAGACTCAATCTTAACCAAGGCACAGCATGATGTCTTTGGTAAAATTCCTTAAAAAAAAAAAAAAGGTGCCTTCAGTACCCTTACTGAACCCCTATTCTATCCTCACTGGGCACTTTTCTTTGCCAAGAACAAACTTTCCTATATCTCCCAGAAAGTGAGTGGCAAAGCCAGAGATGTTAACCCAGATCTATGTAGCTCCAGTGCCTGAGCTTATAACCAGTGTGGTGCCTAGTTAACCACAGGCACGCTCAGCCTCCCAGGAGGCTGGATAATTAGGAGGGGGTAGGGAGCCTTGCTAGGATAAAATGTGCTGAGACTTGTTACTTTTCATGCCTGGAAATCCTGATCAGTGGCAGCCTAGTTCAAAGTTGTACATTTTAAGACAGAGAGACACTGACAAGCAAGATTTTTACCAAGGGATTTTACCTAGGGACAAAATAGAAATACTAGATACGGTATTATGTTTTATGTTCCCAAAGCTAGGTGATGGATGGGGGTTTATCATATTCTGTGTTTGTTAAATTTTTTTTTCTGCATGAAAAAATAAGAACTCCATATTTAGGGGAAAAAAGACTCATAAAGGGAGAAATGGGACTACCAGTTATTTATAGTAAGAATTTAATAGGTAATATCAAAATACAACACCCAATTTTTGTTAACTATATCAAATGAAATAGACAAAAATTGACATTTTCCCCTTAGTTTTATTGATTTTTTTTTTTAAAAAAGAACTGGGCACGGTGCAACACACCTCTAATCCCTGCAACTCTGGAGGCTGAGACAGGAGGATTGCAAGTTCAAGGCCAGCCTCAGCAATTTAGCCAGGTCCTAAGCAACTTAGTGAAACCCTGTCTCAAAATTTAAAAATTAAAAGGGTTAAGAATATAGTACAGAGGTACATTGCTCCTGTGTTAGATTCCTAGTAACAACAACAACAATGACAAAAACAAAACAAACAAAAAACACAAAATTACCCATATTTGAATGGTATATAAATTTTAAATTATCAGGGTACTTTTAACAAAACTGATACACTAATGTAATAAAAAGGTTTATTTACTTTTGATGCATAAGAAAATTATTGCCACTCAGCAACAAATATAGAATTCAGAAAAGAAATTCATTTAGGCAAAAAGATACCCTAAACAGGGAATAAGAATGTAGGTTTTAGACAACTCGGTGTTGTATATCAGGATCTGAGTTGGAAATCTGAATTGCTTTGAAAACTCTGTCTTCCTTGCAGGTCCATAGTACTACATGCTTTGCATGTCTGCAGGCCTAAGCATGTTTCTACAGGTTTCATCTCTGTCCCGGAATGTGTTCATGTTCAAAGTCTTTGCCTAGAATTATATATGATAATATAGAAATACACTGCTATTTATTAGCAGCATACTAAAATCAGGCATTTATTCTTTTGATAATTAGGATTTTGTAAATGTTTACATTTATCTTTTTGAAGAGAGGTAGAGGACCTTAAAGTGATTGTTGACCAATTTTCTTTAGATATTAATGGAGAGCTACAAAAATAGTACTGATTAGCCCCACTGTTCCATAGCAATATGTAGAGACACAGCAGAGGCAATATCTTACCACCTTTTTTCCTCCTAGCCCGATTTTAGATGTAGCAGGTGTTACACTTCAATACTTCTTTTATTGAAATAAAATTTTAATTCATGAATATATACACTGCTTGGAAATTCTGTTTTAGGAAAATGTAAAATGATGTTCTGCGTTTTCAAATATAAAATCTGACAAGTTAAAAAATATCATTAAAATTGACTAAAGCATATATATTTTGGTACTTTTAATTTCTAAAATGTTTGCTTGAAAATGACCCCCCAAAGAGAAAATGCATAATGCACTTATAATTTCAAACAGGATCATAAACAGTCTAATTTACATTTTTATTAAAAATATTAATATTCTCTTCAAACTTTGATATAATATTAAACTTCAGAGAAGAATAAGAGATTTGCTTATATTTTAAGAATACAGTAGCCAAATGACTTCTTTTTCTTCTGTGTAACAATATAAAAATCATTATATAAAAATATTCTCTATTCTCAATTACTATCCAAAACCATACTTGTGGCTGAAAATGCTATGAAGCAGTCATACACTAAAAACTTGATAATATAAATAGCTGCATCATTACCACTTCATCTGAGTATGTCATTTATTACATATTTTGATAGCTGTCATGAGGGTAAAAATGACTATAATTATAGTTATTAAAAATTACATAAACAACATAGTCTTCAGTTATTTTATTTGCCTCTAAAATTTTAATTAACAGTTGTTCTTGAAGTAATTTCAGTGTATAAGTTTGTATTATAATTATGTGCACTGGACATTACACTAGATATATGGTCATTTTACAACTATCAATGCTATTTCCTATTTCTCTTTGTATATTTCTGTCTTCAATGTAAAAAAGGAAAAATGTTTTTCAATGAAACCAATGATAATCTTTCTTAATAGCTATTTTTGTATTTAAAAAACTAGAGTATTTCAACAATTATATTTGTTGAACTTATTTGTCCTCACTTATTAAATAATTGTACTGTTTTAGGGGAAAGGCATTAAAATGAGATTATAAATAGGAATAAGAAGGGAAGGGAAAGAAGATGAGCCCAGAGTAGTGATTAAGTGATCTGGCCCAGGATTCCTGGAAGCCAAAGAAAATGGCTTTTGGCACTTGGATTAAAAAGGTCTTTCATAGAGCATTTGTATAGGTGACACTGAATTGTAACAACACTTTCTATGTTTTAATCGATACAGAGTACTCCGTAAATTATAAAAACACTATACAAAGATGATATTATAATAAACTATTGTGTGTATATTCTTGAACTTTATGTTCACTCCATTTTTATCAATTTAACTTATAAAGACCATCCTTTAATACATGCTAGCCTGAGATTAAGTAGTATCTATGAGATACAAAGCCTGAAGTAAAATCTTCATTAAAACTGAACACTACTGATGCTGGGCACGGTGGGACCCATCTGTAATTCCAACAAACTTGAGAGTCTGAGGCAGGAGGATCAAAAGTTCAAGGCCTGCTCAGCAACTTAATGAGACCCTTAGCAATTTAGAGAGATCCTGTCTCAAAATAAAATGTAAAAAGGGCTGGGGATGCAGCTCAGTGGTAAAGTACCCTGGGGTTCAATCCTGAGTACTGCAAAAAAAAGAAAAACCCAAATCCACTGATCACTGTTACTCAACCTCTCTGATTTTGCAATATAAAATCATACACATGCACACAACACAGAAATACATAAAACAGTCACTTCCTTTAGGCTCTTCAGAGGCAAAGGTGAATTACATAGGAAGATATTAATCACCTCTGAAGTACAGTTTTTCAATTTTAAATACATTTTTTCCAGCAGCACTTATAGCTGAATAAAAAAGACTTAAAATGAACATTAAAATTTTCTTCTAGTAATTTACAAAAATATTTATTCAAATCCTAATTTTATTTTTCCAAGAATTTTTGCATTGCCCACTTTAACCAGAGTCTGTCCACTTCTTTATTAAGAATGTGAACTTATTTTATTTCTATAGAGCTGGACTCTTCAACCTAGATTATAAAATTTATATATATATATATATATATATATATATATATATATATATATATATATAATATCATATTATATATATATATACATATATATAATATCATATTATATATATATATATATACATATATATATATATATATATATATGGAATTTATTTCTATTTCATGATTTTGGATTAACTCCATTAACTAATCTTATGGAGAATAAGTCTTCTCTCCCCAGTAGGCAAACTCACCTTCCATCTGTTCCATTTTAAATGATTGATAGCCCCTTTGTGCTGAAAAGTGTTTCCCTGATTTAAGTACATCTTAGGAGTCAGCTGAGTGAAATCCTAAGGAATTCCTTCATTTCTTCATTCATTTAAAGTGCCTCCTATGTTCTGGGCTAGGCTTTCAGAAGACAGGGATAAGACATGGCCCCTTAAGTTCAAACCCTTTTAATTCTGCTACGGTGTGGAAGAGTACCTGAAACAAAGTGTCATGGGGCCTTGCTATACCGAATATTCTAATGGGGGGTTCAAGAAAAAGGGAAGCGAAATCAGAAAAGTCTTCCTTAGGTGACAATACTTGACGTAAGCACTAAAAATGAGTGGATGGAGAGGGGAAGGGGAGATTTCCAGTCAGGGAGATTGATAAAAAAAAAATCCTCACAACGTGTAGAATTTTGAAACAGTTCTATATAACAAGAAGTAATAATTGGGAAGGGGAAGTTTTCCACCACTGTGTGTAAAAGCTCACAATGTTGATTATGGTTTTGCTAATAAACTGTGCAACCATCATACTATGAGTTAGATTAGTACCAAATGAAAGCATCAAGTCTAGTCTTCGTTCTGAAAATTGTCAAAATTTCAGTGACTTAACCATGTGTAAATTTAGTATTGCTTATGCAGATCCTGTTGTATGTTCTAGAACTCTTCTGGCAGCTGTATTCCGGGCAGTAGTTTTAGCATTCCAGTGTCCTTCAGTCTTGTCCAACTTCCATCTTAAAATATACTTCCACATTGCAGCAGCAGGGGACAGAGTATCAAGACATGAGAACTGATTCTTCAGTGACTTCACCAGGAAACCAAAGAAAGTCACACAGTCATCTCTAACTTCAGTGGGGTAGAGGGTATAATCCTTCCCTAAGCCTAGGACAAGAAGGAGGACAGGAAAATGGCATGGAAAATACTTTTAGCAGTTATGAAATGTTACAGAAATATTTTATGTTTAAGATTAGCCTAATGGGGTCCATAATATTACTAGTAGGTCATAAATTATGATTAAAAGTAATTAATGTTCTAATCTTGATCTTATGATTGAGAGTGATACACATTAATTAGTTTCACTATTACTCAATATGTGTATCATTGTCTGTGCAAGCAACTGTAAAAGCTAGTCATTTAGAGCATGAAATGATTCATGAAATGGTTTAATCTGAGCTATTGTTTAAGTCTAAAATCCAGAGGCATTTAAATGAATTTCTTTGATACTAGTCAATATTTAAAAGCAACTTTTGGTGATAAGATTCCAATACTGTAGTTTAAATGTCACTTTATTTTCATTTCATATGCAAGTGTGAACTAAACTATATTATGCACTGGAAACATACTAAGGTTGCTTATTATAGACATAGGACATATTACTAGGTAGCACTTAGAATTTTAATTTCAGCAACATTTTTGGTTGCTACAATGGATAAAATGCTAAAGAGGCATTTCATCAAGCATGGATCCTAAATATCAGTTTAACACGGATCAATTTAAATTTTCATAACTGTACTTGTTATCCTATCAGGGTGAAGTGGCTAATAGATTTGTTAATTGATATAATATTACAGCAGAGGTCCCCTTCTGGATGTTCCTTCATAGAGGGTTTCTCCAACACTTCATTCCAAATAGTTTTATTTTTAAAATTGTAGCTTCCAGTTAATTTCTTAGTTTCACATTATTTTCTGAAAGCAAGCTTTTGGACCCATCAAAATGACTTACACCTTAAAACAACTGGCACTGAGAGTATATAAATGATATGCAAATATACCTGTTTTGTCAGGTGCAAAGAATCATCCAAAGAGCATGCAATGTGGGCACACAGCTGTGTCTACATGATTCCTTTACTCTTGTAAAACTTAACAAGAGATGAATGAAATCTATCATCCGACTCTTAGTTTATAGATTGTCATCAAATAATGTTCAGTCCTCACGTCACAGCTGTTACAGGTTTAAATCAAAACAAAAATATGCTTCGGAAGACTAGGCAAAGTTAAACCTACCAGGATTAGAAAGATCACAGTGTCACAGGTGTTTTAACACAATAGTAACACAGAGGTAACACCCCCGCCCACCCCACCCCCACTCCCAAATACTGGATGTCGAAGGTCAGACTTCAGGGAGGTTAAGCTGCAGGCCCTGTTCTGCGAGTTGCTTTCCGTACTTCCGCAGCGATCGCTCTGGGGTTCTCCAAGTGCAGGTACCTTCCCTTTCTCCCCACCTGTTAAGCTTGGGCGCGCCAGGCTTTCTGAAGCGATGCCCTAGCGGTGGGAATGGGAATGCTCCGCATCGGAGCTTCCTTTCCGTTTGACTTCCCCAGCAGTACCCCCAAAACCCTGAAGCCCTGGGGGAAGGAAATTCCAACTCGCTCGGTGCACACTCCCGCCCCGTTCCTCTCTCCGGCTCGCTGCCTCCCTCGCTCCGATGCCGCCGACCTGTTCCTCACTTCTGGGCGGCGGTGCGGCGGAGAAGGTTGCGAGTTCCCGGACTCAGGGCAGGGACATGGGGCAGGGTGAGTGAATCGAATTGGGGTGAGGCTCCGTAGCGCTCCACGAACGCCTGGCTTCCCGCCCTCGGTGCAGTGGGAGGCGGGACGCGGCCCTGCCCGGCCCGCGCTGGGCTGAGCCTCGGAGACGCTGCAGCTTTGCCCTCCATTCAAGTCCTGGCTTGAGAGCCAAGCTGCAAGCGCGCGGGCCGGGGGAGGGAAGAGTAGGAGAGGAAGCTGCTGGAGAGGAAGCTGCTAGAGAGAACAGGCGAGCCACTGTCTCCTTTGAAAAGAAAGTAGGAGCCCTGGGTGGGAAAAGAAAGATTAGCCCTCCCAACTTTTCTTCGGGAAAAGTTTTCCCTGGGCGTTTTGTTTGTGCAAACTCTGCCGGAGCAGCCCGGGCTCCGTTGCCGGCGTGGCGGCGGTGCCTATGCGCCTGGCCCCGCTTCTTTTCCAGCCTGGGCAGCTCCTCTTCCTCCACGACAGGCGCCAAATGGCTACCCAGTAAACCCCACCGGGCGGGGGCTGCAGCGCCGCCTCCTGCCGTCTTGGCCTCCGGCTTCGGCCGCTAGAATCGGTGGGGATTGCGGTGGCGCCTGCGGGCTGGGAACCTGGTCCCGCAGGTGGAAGCGTACCCGGGAGGCGGGCCCGCCCCGGGCTGAAGTGGGTCGGGCTGGCTCTTGACAGTTGGCCAGCCCCGCTCCGGCCTGGGAAGGCGCGCGTCCCGCCCTGACCGGCCGGCCTCTCCCACCCCAGCAGTGACGCGCCGCCTCAGAGCTGGAGCCCGCGCAGCACCCCGCAAGGCGATGGACAGCCAACCCCCCTGTGCTCAGGACGCCCCCGCGGCGCCCACGCCGCTCGCCGCTCCGGCTGGGTAAGCCCCGAACGTCGCGCCACCGCTCACCCTGGAGGGCGAGGACCAGGGCAGCGAGGCCTCACCGGTTTACCTGGCTGGCAACTCGCTGCCCTGCCATCGGCCTGACTCACTGGCCATTCTACACGCGGCCAGGGAGGCTGCTTCCTCCCTGCCTTTTCGGAGGCCGCCCGAGGTGGTGGTTTGGGTAGTTTTTGATTACTTCTTACTGGGGTTGTCCTGGGTTGCGGAAGGCCAGCTGAATGCCAGGAATTGGGTGAGGAGTCCGGGAGAAAATATTGTAACAAAGGGCCCCTTGTTGGGGTTTTGGAGCAGCAGTGGACGATACCTGTAAGTGAGCCCTGGGAAGGAAAAAAAAAAAAAAAGTTTCCTTGGCCAAGGACTGAGACCGAGGCAGAGGCAGGCGACCATGTCAAGGTGACTGTAAGGAAGGGTCTTTCTGAAAGCGAGTGGAGGGCAACTGGAAGATGTGCCAGCTGTCAGCCAGCATGACAGTTCCGGGAGCGGGCGGGGTGCTTGCCTCTGATTGGGGGTGTGTGTGCCTGTGGCCAATTGCTGATGCCAAAGCCAAGCGCAAAGTCAGATTGCAAACAACTATACTTTTCTTTTTATCCTCACGTGCTTGAGGAGAGATTGGAGGGGAAGGGGCTGTCACATGGTGAGTTAATATTAAATGAAGCATGTCTTCCTGCCAAATATGCTAATAATCACCCTGCTAAGCGTTTGGGTAAACAGTAATGAGAACAGGTAGTTCTGCAAGAGATGAGAACCTGAAAAATAACCTTGGTCTTGGTAAATAGTTAAGGCGAAACGTGTTCTGGTTGAGCTTCTGAAGTGGGAATCCCCATTGCTAAAGTGTAACTTTTTCCTACAAGTGTTCCCTCATCTCAGTTTCTTTTCTTTCTTGGTTTATCTGAATGCACGAATGCCCTACAGAGGATACAAACATGACAGAAATAGAAAAGTTGAGGGGAAAATCAACTTCGTTACTAATGAATGAGAATTGTGCCTTGTTTTATCCCCCCCTGATTTAAGAGGGAAGAAGTCATTTTTCCCTGGAACATGACAGACAGACGTTTCCTTAGAAGCAAGTCACAGCATGTTTATTCATCAGAGACCATTCGAACATTGGCAGTTGTCTGCAGGAAACATGGAAAAGTCTCAAAGCAACATGACTAATATAAATGATATTTAGTGTAATGCTTACGTAGAGGAAACATGTAGTGTATGAATTATTTCATTTTCCTCCAAATTGCTACCTTCTCCCCATGCAAATAGCCCTGTTGCTGTTGACTTCCATTTCTCTCTTTACCCTAGCTTTTCCATTGATTAGAATGGAATATATGAAAGATATTCATTTATTCTCACATTAGGATATATGAAAAAAGAGATACAATCATAAACTTAGCATGAAAGCAAGATCTCTAAATAAATGGGCAGATTTTTGCATCAGGTTTCAGAATACTGAATTTGGGCACCACGAAATAAGACAGAATTGCATTGTTGTACGTGGAAATGGATTAGGTTAAGCTACTTTTTTTTAAATGTACACAAAATACCCTCATGTTCATAAATCAGTGACATTTTGCATGGGTTCAGATGGGTCTGTGATGAAGGGAAAGCGACAGGTATAGTAAGATAATTCCAGTTCTGCTTTTCAGACTTTAAAGTTTCAACCAAGTTCTTTGCTTTAAAAGAATGTACATGTAGTTCTTACCTCCTCTCCAGACTAAAGGAGAGACACCTGGAAAAAAATGCTTCAACATTCAACCTAAGATAATACCCCGAATTCTATCCTTTTACTTTATACTCTCATTAGAGATATCATCACTACTGGAAACATAAAAAAAAATTTTATTTTTCTACTTAATCTGTCTCTTGTACTTGTCTATCTTGTCTCTTGGCATATTTCAAGGGCCAAGGGCCTGTTATATATTTGTTGAGTATTCGGTATTGTTTTTGTTATATAAATCCTAGAACATTAAAAAAGATTTAAGTTGTGGAAAATTTTATCGATAAGAGTATTATGGAACTGACAAGGAACAAGCTTAATGTGTTATAATTGTAAGGTTTTAGAGCTAAATACTTACATAAAACATTATATAATGACTCATAATTCTAATAATCTGTAAGGCCTAGGTTTAGTCGGTATCCTTGGGTATTCCTGCTCAAAAGTTCTTTTTGGTTTTCCAAGGTTTACATCTTTATACACATCATTTAAAAAAAAAATGAATGCAACTGCATATTTTACAAATGAGAATTAAAGACCAGATACACTTGGCTACTGTCTCAGAGAAAATTAGTATCAGAACCTGAAGGAAAACCTATGGCTTTAGTTGATTAGATCATTGTGTTAATTACTTTCCGTGTTCTCTTGACCATAAAATGATAGATAATTTGTTAATATGTAGATTTTTCTATGTTGAATCACTAACTCAGTACTATGGTTTCAATATGATGGTCATCTACATACTCATTTGCAGAAATCTTGGCCCCCAATGTAAAGGCATTGGGAGGTGGTTCCTTTAAGAGGTAATTAGGTCTTTAAAGAGGGGTAAATGCTTCTATATGGGAGTGGGTTTCTATAAAGTGAGCTTGCCTCTCTCCTTGCTCCTTTCACATTTTGCACAGGATCCTACTGTGATGTTGTCCACCATAATATGACTCAGGCAGAAAGCCTTCACCAAGGCCAGAGACACTGCCTGATCTTGGACTTTCAGACTCTAAACCTGTGAGCTAAATAAACCTCTTAAAAAAAAAAAAAAGTAAGTGACCAGTTACAGGTATTCTCATAGCAAAAGAAAATGGACTAAAATAGTGTAGTTCTCTGTTTTTATACATTTCAGGTGATATTATTTGATAGCCTTCTCCCCACTTGCATAATTTCTGTAAGTTAGCATGTTCAGGACATGACTGATTATTTTAGGAAAATTAATTTTTTATGGCCCCTCAGCTGCTTTTTCTTTGGAACATTCTAATTGTTGCATTGCAAGGAATAGTTTAAAAATTGTTCAGTGGCTTCACACATTTAATTCACATGTAGCATCCGTCAAACATTATTATCAGTTACTTGGGATAGATGGCATGTTCTTAATTTTAGTGAAGGTATTGGTATACAGAAGTTTTTCGCCTTAGGATTGTGTGCTGGCAAATGCCTGGCCTTCATCACAGTTTGTGATCCTCTGGATTCTTACCTTGGCCTCTAGTGCACTGCCTTAATCCTTCAGCATTCTTGATTAGTTTTTTCTTAATAGCTTGCAAAGGTATTCAACATATATTTATATCTCACAGGCCTGGCCATGGACATTTGAAATGGGCTGAGTTTTAACATCAAACAACATCAAATCATAACAGGTTTAGTTTTTCTTTGAGGTTAAAATTTGTATGAAACTTTATATACATGTATTGTTAAATATATTGGTAAGAGGTCATTGATTTTGAGTAGGCTCCTGTACTGGGCCCATCAGTCCAAACCAATATAGTATGTAATCACAGTAACAGCTTTGGTTGCAGAAGGCTTTGTAGCCAATTAACTGATTAAGTTGTAAACCATTAACTAGTTAAGATATAACAAGTTTAACTGGTTGATTGAAGAGATTGTAGCCAGTTAGTTGTTTCTATGCCTCACTTGTGCTTTTCTATAAATGTTGTTAGATCATATTGCTGGTTAGAGTTCTTGGAACCTGCTCTTGTTCTGGGAGATGCCTGATTCTCAAATCATTTTTCTTTTGATTTGCTTTAGTAAAATATTCACATAATTGTCTAAAGAATTTTCCAGCCTGGTGTGGTGGCACATACGTATAATCCCAGGAGGATTTCAAGTTGGAGGCCAGCCTTAGCAATTTAGTAAACCCTGTCTCAAAAAAAAAAAAAAAAAAAAAGAGAAAGAAAGAAAGAAAAGATCTAGAGATGTAACTCAGTGGTAAAGTGCCCCTGAGTTTATGTGTAATATATAGTCATGTATGTCTTATCTACGTCTTCACATATATTAAATTTGGATTAATTTGCATAGTAAGCTAGATAAAAATGGTTATACATTGTATTTTGTTTCTTTTTTTGGGGGGGGCAGGTATTGAACTCAGAGGTACTCAAGTACTGAGCCCTTTTTTTTTTTTTATTTTTCATTTTGAGACAGGATCTCAACTAAATTGCTGAGGCTGGCTTTGAATTGGCTATCCTCCTGCCTCAGTCTCCCAAGCTGCTGGGATTATAGGCTTGTGCCACCACATCTGGCATTATTTGTTTCTTACTAAGTGGAAAATACTAGGTTGGTTTTTGTTGGTGGTTTTCTTTTTACTTTTGAGAGGGCAACTCCATTGGAGAGACTGGTTGAAAAGTTAAAATGTTTTGAAGTTAAAGGTGGCAGCCCAAAGTGATTTTTTTCTTTCTACCATGGATATCCAATGACAGGACAACAATTTTGCTTTTTGCTCATTCAGTTACTTGTAGCTAACCATGGTCTGAAAATATTACATGGAACATTCCAGAAATAATCATTAAGTGTTAACTTGCACACCATTATGAGCAGCATGATGAAATCTCATGTGTTCTTGCTCCATAGTGTCCTATCCATCCCAGGATGTGAATTCTATTTGTTCAACATATCCATGCTGTATATAATACCTACTCATTAGTCACCTGGTAGCTCTCTTTGTTATCAGATTGGCTGACTTGGTTTCGAAGTGCTCTGAGTTCAGGTAAACCTTATTTAACGATGGCCTCAAAGTGGAAGAGTGGTGATGCTGGCAATTCAGGCGGCAAACAAACTGTAAAGTGCTTCTCCTTGAACCCAAAGTACACTGACATTTTTAGGAAGACTACATTAACTTTTGTTACAGTAATATTCTGTTTTATTAGTTATTGCTAATCTGTTACTGTGCCTAACTTGTAATTGAACAATTTTGTGGTATGCATAGAAAAACCTGTATAGAGTTCAGTACTGTCTGAGATTCCAGGCATCCACTGGTAGTAATTCCCTATTGTACTGGAATGTTATTGTT